GTAACATCAGTTGTTGTTGTTGCTGAAGCGATGGAGGAGGGGAGTCGAATCTTGACGAGTTTCTGCTGCACCAGATGATCCACAGTCCGAGGGCTCTTGACACCCAAGCTGGGTAGACAKCAAGGCTTCTATTGTGCCCATCTCCCCTGATTAGTGACTCTTTACTCCACAGGGCATTCTGGTCTTCTTCCGGATAAGCTTTGGCCCACATATCCYTCCACCAAGACCAGAATGTCTGGGCTTTTGGGCAWTGCCACCAAATGTGGCAAATGTCTTCAATAATCGCTGGAGAACAGGTGTGGCAGAAAAGGGAAACCTTCATCCCTTTCGTAACACACCACTTACCTGTGGGAACACTGAGCATCTGTAGGAGCCAGAGAAGGCCTGCATGTTTGACGACAGGGAGAGATCTRATAGACTTACCAAAGTTGCRGCAGAGGTCAAAAGCTACGGGTTCCATTGCCTCGACTGCTGAAAAATTATCCCACGAGGCTTTAACTGTGCTGTACAGCCTATTACCCCTGGATTGTATTCTGTATCCCAAGGATACTGCATAGTCCAGGAGTGGTGCATCTTTCCCCTCCTTTGTCCCTCTTTTCCACCCTATTGACAGGGTATGGGTTTTCGCCTCGAGTAAGGGAATCCCGTTCAGGCATAACTTTGGTATGAGTCTTTGAGTCCCGTTGATCATCTTGTATTCCTCCCTGGCCAGCACCTGTGTGTAGTCATCTCTGTGGATCTCCGTGCTCAGAGTCTCGTCCCTCTTGAGGTTTCCTTTGGTGTCAAGTTTCCAATATGCTGTTTTGCATTTACCATCAGGTAAGACCTGTTCAACTTGGTGGAAGCCTGTGTATCCTTCTTTGGATCTCAGCCAGGTGCCAACTGAGATACCCTTAGATGTCAGCAACGTTATCCAGAATTGGGGGATAGCCCCCACCAACTGAGCGAGATTATCTTGGATATTGTGAAGTTCTCCCAATTTTCCGCGGATCTCAGAAACTGTCTTCCAGGACTTAGTGTCTCTATTCCAAATTTGTCCTACCTTGAAAATCCCCCTGCGRACCCAGGACGTACCAAAAGAATTAGCAGATATCTGGAAAGTGTTATTGCTAGGGTCTCTTACTGCCGAGTTATCAAAAAGATTCTGGCACAGCACTTCTTCTGCTGTGGTGGGCCATTTTAATACAGATGGAAGTAAACTACTCCAGGCTTTCAGGATTGGTTCCCAAATCTGTGACTTAATTTTCATTCTGAGAAAACCCTTCATGAAAAGACAGGCCCAGACGCTGTCAGGGTCGGTCAAGCCCCACTCCTCCATCAAAATTTGTTGGGCTAGTTTGATCCATGGACGGTTGGAATCCAGTGTGAGGAGCCTAACTACCCATTTCAGCAGTAAGGCCCTATTCTGCGCCTGAATATCAAGTAATCCTAATCCGCCTTCATCCCTCTTTTGGGTGACCTTCCACCAGGCGACCTTCGGTAAGGCCTTGCCACTCTCAATTGAGCCTTTCCATAGGTAGTTAGCGATCTGTTGTCTGAGTCTCTGCTAAGTTTTCGATGGGATTGGTTTAATAGAGAGGATGTACCATATGGTAGAGAGCACCATAGTGTTAATCACTATTTCTCTTCCGAAGAGGGAGATAGACCACACCTTGGACCAGGAGGTGAGTCTCTTCATCACCCTGTCTTCTATTATTTGCCCCTGCTTCCTCTCATTATTACCATAAGATATTTCAATCCCTAAGAATCTTTCAGAGTGATCGCGGTCTTTAACTACCATACCCAGATCAAGAGCCAGAGCGGAGTTGTCTCTGGATAAAGCGACCGATTTGTCCCAATTGACCTTAGCCTCTGAGGCCTTACWGAAGAGATTAAGGGAATTTCTCACTTCCGACAGTGACTGAACTGAATTTTCAGAGATCACCGCCAGATCATTAGCAAGTGCTGATGTTTGTATTTGGTAGTTAGGAGTTACTTGTAATCCTTTAGCCTGGGAATTACGAATCAGATCTAGGAGGACCTCTTGCTGAAGTATGTATAGGAGGGGAGCTAGTGGGCAGCCTTGCCTTAGTGATCTCGAGAGTTCGAACCTAGCAGACTTTCTACCATTGACCACCACTGAGGCTACTGATCCTGTGTAGAGTTTTCTTACCCAATTGCAGAAGACCGGTCCAAAGCCTCTATGTTCCACTACTTGGATAACAAAGTCCCAGTTGACTCTATCATAGGCCTTTTCAAAATCAATGAGAGGATGACTTCTGAAGACGTTCTGTGCTCAATGATCTCCATGGCCTGTGAAATGGTCATGACATTGTCCAGTACGAGTCTTCCTTTAACAAAACTTGACTGGTCTGGATGTACTAGATAAGGCAGGATATTGGCTATGCGTCTAGAGAGGGTCTTGGCCAGAATTTTTCCGGCTGCGTTGAGTAATGTGATGGGCCGGTAATTTCTGACATCTCTCTTATCATTCTTCTTGTAAATGAAAGAGATGGCTCCTTCCATCATTTCTCTACCCAAAGAATCGCCTTCCACTACCTTATTGAAAATTTTCAAGAGGATAGGGCCGAAGATTGGCCAAGACTCTTTGAAAAATTCCACAGGTAACCCATTCGGGCCTGGGCACTTCCCAAGAGCCATGCTGTGCACGGCCGCTGTTAGTTCTTCTAAGTTGATCCTCTCATCTAACAGATTTCTCTGTGAGGGAGAAATCTGACTCATATTGATATCCCACAGTCTTTCCTCTTCCTCCTGTGTGACGAGTGGTTCTCCTGGAATCTTCTTCGTGGAGAGGAGTTTCTCATAAGAGATTTTGGCATAGGCACACATTCCCTCTAGATCCTTGGCAGGGGGGAGGGAAGAATCAAACGGATGGAGGATTTCGGTCATGAGTGGATGCCCTCTAGTTTTCTTAGCCTTACTGAGAAACTGTTTAGACATCCTGTCGTTCTGCATTATATTATGGACTGAAGAAAACTTCAGCCATTCTTCCTCTCGCTGAATTTGGAAGTCCTCCCATTGACCTAGCCAACGGTCCCTCATCTCTGCCCAGTATGAATGGGCGTATGGTTCACTTGTCATCTGTTGTTCTGCCTTTATCACCCTTCTTTTGAACTCGGCTTCCTTAGCATTCCTGTTTCTAGCTTTCAGTAGACTGAAAAACTCTAGCATCTTAGTAGTCTGTCTAATCCCCGCATCGTAACAGTCTGCTAAATTATTATAGGATAGTTTCTCTTCTTCCCATTCTTTCCAAAATTCCTTTATCCATTCCTTGACCCCAGGATCCTCCAGAACTTGGGCCTGGATTCTTGAGAGGTCCTTGGCTCTGGTAATATCCGAACCAATAGACATCTCCAAGATCACAGGTTCATGGTCTGATAGTGGGTTTGTGTCAATATAGACGTCGATAACCCTTTCCAGGAGTGTATCTCTCACCAACCAGTAGTCTAGCCTCTTCCTTGCCACTTGGTGAGTGTTCGAGGAGGAGGCTGAGATCCAAGTGAAGGTCTTAGAATCCGGGTATATGTTGCGAAAGGCGTCTGTAAGACCCTGATCAAAGATGAAATCTTTGAATCTCCTAGAGTCTTGCCAGTTACCCTCTCCGCTGGAAGAATCCAAGGACGGATCCATCGTTGCATTCCAATCTCCCCCTACTACTAGGTTCTGTACATTTGGAATAAAAGCTTTGAGTTAAAGAAGAAAGTCCATTCGTTCCTTGCGGTCTACTGGTGCATAGACCGACATAAAAACCCACTCCTCATTATCAATCAAAACTTTTACCCATATCCATTTCCCAAGAGAGTCATAGAAATAGTCAAGGACAGGATAGTTAAAATCCTTGTGGAATAAAATTGCAACCCCTCCCTTTGTACCATCTGCGGGCGCCCACCACTGTTCCCCTCTCCACCAATTACCCAGTTCGGTGATCTTTTCCTCGTTGAGTTTCGTCTCTTGAAGCAAAGCAACCTGTATCTTATTCTGATGTAACCAGGTTTTTAACCTGGATTTCTTCCTTCTCCCATTGCTGTCTCCAATACCTCTGAGGTTCCAGGAAACTAGGCGTGTTTTATTACTGGGCGGCATTGCCCATCAAGCCCGCCTGTAATTGGATTGACAAACCTTGGGCACCCCCTGTGACAGAGTCCTGGATGTGCATGAGGTCTATTTCCCAGGGTCTGCACAGAGAATCCAGCAGGGATTGAGAAAAGAGGTTTTTTTTTGCTGATAATTGTGTGTTTAATTGTGACAGGGCTTCACCTGAGATCTCTCTTGAGATCAGGATCGTATTCAAATCTTTACTGTTGGCGGATTTGAATACATCTGAAGGAAGCCAGTGGAGACCACAGTCGATGTCTTGGACTGATGGAGAGAGGGAGGGTCTAGCATTGAAGAGATATATAAAGATAAAGATCATTTGATCAGATCTCTTCGAGAACGGGCCCAGCCTTTGCATGCTGTATCCGCCTACCGGGCGAACATCATATCTCCCATTGAGATAGTCCTGTACCAGTTTGAGAGCAATCGAGTGAGGAGGAATTTCCCCTAGTTCCCAAACAGGTATTTTTAGCGGACCTTTCTCATCTGGGATCGTCATCCATTCAGTAGAAAGTGGACCTTCTCTCATAATCATCGGGCAAAACAAGTTGACGAACCTTACCTGATTCGCTTGATGTTCTCTTGTGATGGAGTTCATCAGCGCTGGCTCCTGTTGAACCCCGATCGTGTTAGGGGGGTGGTCTTGATGTCCCATCCCACTAGAAAGGGATATTTCAGGCGAAATGCCTTTCTCAAAGGAGGATACCAACGAGGAGACCGAAGTCTGCTGAACTGTCGCTGTACTGCTGGCTGCTGCTGCTTGAGTACCTACCGATGGGGCTGCTGGCTGGTCTTTTCGACTGTACTTCGTCGGCGAGACTTGTAGGTTCCCATCCACTGTCTTGGCGCCAATGCCCGGGGATCTAGGAGAGGTGGGAATGGAAATAACCATAGAGGTATTTCCTTTCCTTCTCCCACTAATCCCTCTTCCTCCTGTGTTCCCCCTCCCTCTAGACTGTAGAGAGAATGGTTTCAACTGGGAGGAAGTAGAGGCTGCTTGACCCGCCGAGCGTTTTTCCAAAGGAGAATTGCTGGAGTATCTTGCTCTGCTGCKGAGCGGGGGGGTGACTCCYGATGGGGTCGTATTTCCTCCCGCTGATCCCAGCGCATGGAGCCCAGGTCTCTCATCCCTCGATCTTCTCAGATCAGCCTGTGTGCTGCTCTGGTTTACATCTTGGATGCCTCCTCCTCTAGTGGGATTGGGAGGCGGAAATGCTCTGCTCGTTCCCTGACCTGTTGCTGTCGAGTGGCCGCGAGTGGTCGGTCTGAAGATCGGCGGTGGTCCTGCGCTCGGAGCCCCAGTATGGGTCTCGTTACTGGCAGGTGCTGCATTGTGGGAGACGCTCCCTGTGRTGGCCCCYGGATTTCTGGTTCCCRCTCCTKGAACTRTGAGAGGAGGCGGTGGTACGTATGACCTCCCTGGAGCCGGAATGTTGCCTCGCCCCTCTTGTCCTTGTGAATTCGTCTGATGGTTCCCGTTCTCCTGATTCGGCCTAGACGGGCCGGCCCCTTGATCTCTGTCCCCTCTATCCGGACAATCCGCGGCGTAGTGACCATACCATCTACAAAATTTACACCATGGGGTGTTGCTATCGACCAGGTCCGCCGACATCGTTTCAAGACCTACCTTGAGGGACAAGATCGACTTAAATCTGGACTCAAACTTTCTATCAATGCCAAATTTTGCGTTAACCAGATGAGGCATCGACTCGTCTTCTATAGGGTCGAACTCTTTAATAATCGGTCCAATGGCCTTTTTAATCATCGTACGAATAAATGACATTGAGTATAACGAAAAACGGGTGGCCATTACCCAGTAATTTTCCACCCGTTCCTTCTCTCTTACCGTTTCCCATTCGTTCTTAGGTAACCAAGAACGAACAATGACCTTGTATTTCTGTCTGTCTAGGAAGAAATTGATCTCCGCTTTTCTACCCATCATCATCGATTTCGCCTCTAGCGATCTAGCGACATATATAATCATTGTTCTACCCTCGACATGAGTAGAGCCTCGCCCCAAGGCTTTGAGTTCTGTACTCAAGCGTCCGTCTTCGAGTTCCGTACAAATTGGAGTTTCTCCTTATTGCCAAGGTTCTTCGCTTTCCCGCCAAAAATGAAGACCACTGTATGGTCTTTCAACCATTGGATTTGAATCCTGTTGAAGTCCTCGTGTACTGTCCCGTTGATGCAGTCCTCGTCTGTGTCGACCTCCAGGTATTGGTCCAGGTCCGGGATGTTCCCTTGGATGAAGCATTCCTGAGGCAGCTTCTTCATTCGTTGTTCCTCCTCTGAGTCTATTTCTCCAGTAGGATCGCCCATTCCTGTGTGGTCCGGTTGATCCATTGGGAACGAGTCTGAAAGAAAATATGGAAATAAAGCTGAGTCTATTTTATAGAATGACAGATCCTGCCTCCCGAAAATAGAAGGCGGGCCCACCGTGTAGAGGAAGGCGGGAGTTTAATCCTGTACTCGAAGAAGAGCTCGAATCTCAAGGTGAGGAATCCAAGTGTGTTCTTCTAATTTAGGGAAAGGACAGAAAAAACCATCCCAAAAATAGAAGTAAGATCGTTCCGTCTACTATCGATGGAAGCAATCATAGATTTTATTACTGTTTGGGAGGAAGAAATAAGCCGCAACTTTGCAATTGAGTTTACGACGGGAGAGTATGAGTTGGTTAATAATGTGTGGAGAAATTCACTCACTTCTGCTTTACTCTGGAGACAGAGCGAGGAGCCTCGCCTGTCTACATACGTTGTGGTAAATATCTGTGTGGGACATTACCCCGGTCAGCTGCGCATCAAACTCCGGTTCTATGGTGAGCTGGAGTGCCCGTGAATGGGTGATGCTCCCCTTACCTCGTCATAGCCATACAGCGGGTTAGGGTTTGCCTGTTTACCCTATCTCGGTAACTTGCGTTAACGCAGGCGCTACGCGGCGCCGCTGGAAACGCATTCCGGTCGCCCTCGCTGCACTACTCTTGAAACGAGCATTTACATCATCTCATTCTATTCTGAGACCATTCTCAAATTCTATGCCTTCCGCTCTGTTCGACCAATCGATCCTTCAGTGGCAATGAGGGGGCAAAAAGAAAAGAAGAAAAACGGGAACAGCGGCCTAGCTCAGTTGGTAAGGCATGCAAGTGGCATTCAGGAGGTCTTGGGTTCAATCCCCAATCCCCTCATGTACCTTCCTGGGCTTGCTTGGCGCCCGCCACCTAGAGATATGTCGTTGGTCCCCCCGAGTGGCATTGAGCAGAGACTGCTGATGTTCAGAGGGGGAGGGGACCGGAGGGGAGGCACAGTGACTGGCCCATCGAAGCAGCTCGTTTCATGATGCTACAGGCTGACCCCTGGCCGGTATCGCCCACCTGCTGTAGCAGGTATAGCACCTGCTGGTGGGTGCAGCTCCGGCATGTTCCCTCGTTGGAGGCTTGAGCACAGATGTGGCTGCTACGTAATACTATAATGACAATAAAAAAGGCCTGAAAGGCCGTCCTGTCCAGATTTGACAGGTGATTGAACTGGTTGGGCTTAAAGAATTAGCCTTTAAAAAAAAAAAAAAAAAAACTGTAGCAAAAAAAAGAAAAAGAAAAAGAGAAAAAAAAAAAAAATGCAGCAGGTGCAGGAGCACGGTTCCACTAGCAAAGGAGTAAGGTAAACTGTGTCCCGCAAACACCTGTGGGACATCTGCGAGACATCGTCCGACCACTCATGGCAGCGAAAGTGAGAGGGATTTATATTCCGAAGTGGTGTTTGTTTTTTGTTTTTCTGCTTTTCTTCCCAGGGGCCTGGACCCACTAGCGAAGTATTCTACGACGTGTGACACAGTTTTATGTTTTTTTGGAAAGTACAAAGTGATTTTTTATTGCATGAATGGATAGTTCTCTGATAGCTCAGTTGGTTAGGCATACAAGTGGCATTCAGGAGGTTGTGGGTTCAAGCCCCATGGCCGCCTGCGGCGCACTTAGTGCCAACGGACTGTGATAGTCCTCTGGATACCCCTGATCGGTATTAGCGCGGTCTATGACCAACACGGGTGTGAGTGTGAGCGCGAGTGGGTTGTGTGTGGTGTGTGGGAGAGTGTTGGCCATCGCCTCTGCTGCTACTCGATGAAGGGTGCGGGACAATGAGAAAGGGAGGCACAACTACTGGCAGGTCTCGGTCTTTGTGTTAGCCAGACCCCCACTGGCGGCCCCAACCCTATACCCTAACCATTAGGGGTAAGGGGCAACATGAAATCTCCCCTCTAGATAGTCTTAGGAGTAGGTAGTGGAAGGTAAACAAACAGAAGTTGAGAGGAGAATATAGACAGTTGTCATCACCCCAAAAAAGGGGAATAAAAATAAAAATAAAATGAATTGAAATAGCACATAAAACTATGAAGAACAGTTGTGCTCCCAAATTCATGGGTTGGTACGGTCTCCTTCGCGAAAGTCTTCATAGTGATGTACCATGGCAATAAAATGTGTCCACGAACACATTCACGAGGATGAACAAGTAATGGGTCTTGGGATACATTCCTCGCGATGTATCTGATGATGCCTCTAACAGGCCATCCGACAGACGCAAAAGCGTTCCTGTCAGATCCACCACAATATTCAAATTTCACATTTCAAGTTCTATTTCTSAGAGCCAAAAAAAAAAAAAAAAACAAGTTTGGAAATCAAGCCCCCCCCTTTAGAGCCCATAAAATCCTGACTTCCCGCCCACGCAAAGCCACGAGCTATCATGTCCAAGTTAGACCAACTTTGTTTTTTTTTTCTTTTCGACGCATCTCATTCGACGGGAGGTGGGCATCTTTACAGTTCCTGCTCGAAAACTGCCAGGCCGTCGAGATCTGATCTATTTGACGGTCGTACTGAGTCACTGGATGCCACACGTGATCGAAATTCTGAACGGCGTGGTAGAATACCTTTCTAGTGGGTCCAGGCCCCAGTTCCCAAGAATGGGAGGTGGGAAAAGAAAATAGAAAGACTCATTTTGATTGGCAGCTCTTCAAAAGATTAAAAAAAATCAAGTACTCCAAGGGCATGTTTTTGACCCCCATCTTTTTCCAGGTCAATTTTTTTTTTTTTTAATATAAAATTTGAGCCATTTCTCGATTTATGCGTGTCATCCTTGCGCAGGGGCCATGCTAATCTTCTCTGTATCGTTCCAATTTTAACGGATGTCCCGAAGGACCGGCTCAATTTTTAACCCCATCCAATACTTCGATTTTCTCTCAAAATACACGAAATGCACTCTTCAGCATGGCAACTGTCAGAGAAGAGAGTCCCAACAACCCCATCCAGTACTTCGATTTTCTCTCAAAATATATGAAATGCGCTCGTCAGCATGGCAACCGTCAGAGAAGGGAGTCCCATCAGGCCCACGAAGAAGGGACTCCCTTGCTGTGGTACGCGAGACTGCAACAGTCGCGTACCACTCTGTCCTGATTAGGCGTTGGCTGGGTGGGGAGCAAGGGGAGGAGACGGGAGGGTTAGTGGGACGGCAGCACTTTCAAAAGGCGGCCTCCTTCCCATCTTGGGAAATGTAATGTCACCATTTTTCTATTTTATTTTTCTTCCTTTTCTTACAGTGCCGCACGGGTCCAAAGAGGCCATGACTCGTGTGCTAGTGGAACCGTGCCGCAGGTGGGTTTGGGAAACGACCTCCCACGTATGTAAAAAAAAAAAAAAAAAAAAAAAGATAAACTGCCCCTTCTCCATCCGAATATGGGCCT